CATGAGTCAGAAAAGACTCAACGGCATCTGGTTTGTTAGTTCTACCTGTAATCAGTAAAGGCCCTGATATCTTCATTACATATAGATTGGTATGAAAAGTTGGTCATACTGATGTCAAATTAAACTTTTCATGTATTTGCTTATTTTGTGCAATAACAATGTAACTTATTATTTCCCTGGCCACATCAGTTAAAGAGTACAAACACTGAAACCAACAAGCTAATAACAGCCTTTGAATCCCAAAAGCCATATGTAAAATTACTGCAAACCTAATTCACAATTTTCTTCTTTCTTAGCAAAAATGGCCATATTATTTAAGGACCATTTTAGTTACAATGGAACTTGTTGTTGTTGTTAAGTGCCTTCGAGTCGGAGCCGACCCATAGCGACCCTGAACAGGGTTTCCGAGGGTGTAAATCCTTACGGGAGTAGAAAGCCTCATCTTTCTCCCGCGGAGCGGCTGGTAGTTTCGAACCACTGACCTTAAGGTTCGCAGCCCGATTCGTAACCACTACGCTACCAGAGCTCCATTACAATGGAACTAAAGGGGTCATAATTGTTATCTTGTATCAACACTGAAGAATTTACAATGAATCCATGAAACACCTCCCGACATGGATGTACTTGGAAGACATTATGCTGAGTGAAATTAGTCAATCGCAAAAGGATAAATATTGAATAAGACCACTATTGCAAAAGTAAAAAAAAAGGTTTTCTTGATTAGAGGCATTCTAGGATAGTTACCAAAGGGCGTGGGAAGGAAAAATAAAAAATAATTCACAGGCCAGAGGGTAGACACATGTTAACGTGGGTGACAGGGAAGGCCCAAGGGGGAAGTCGGCAGAGGAAAGATGGAGGCTGCAAATAGCAGGGAAGGATGCAATAGTTAAAGTGAACAAAGGTGAATACTGCGTATATGGAGGGGATTGCAATCATAATAATGAAGCAAAGGGTATGAATGCTGAATAGAAAACTGATTATTTGCTCTGTAAACCTTCAATCAATTCAATATAAAAAGTTTTTAAAAATGTATTTCTTCCCAAATGTTGTTAGCTGCCATGGAATCAGTTCCCAACTCAGGGATCCTACTTGCAACAGATGGAAATGCTACCAGGTTCTGCACCACCCATTATCGGCTAGGGATCAAACAGTTTTGTTCCATAGGGTTTTCACTGGCTGATTTTCACAAATCAATCGTCAGACTTTCCTTCCTACATCGTCTCAGTTTGGAAACTCAACTGAAATCTGTTTAGCATCATTGTAGTTGTTACATGCTGTTGAGTTGGATCCGACTCATAGCGACCCTGTATTGGGTTTTCGAGGAGCAGGTGGTGAATTTGAACTGCCGACTATGCAGTTCAAACAGATCTTGTGGTTGAGTACTTATCTTACAGTGCCAGCTAGGCGTGAAGTGCATTGATCAGGAATTGACCCCAAGTCAGATGAGAATTCTACCACTGAATCCCACCCTTCCTGAATATTATTTTGAGCAATCTCCCTTCTATATATCTAGTCCACTCCTTGGTGACAGGAAAAGTAAAGGGAAGGCAATAAAAGAAGCTAAGTGACCTGAGGCAATTCATTATTGTCACCACACCTAGAGAATAAGCTCTGTAACCCTAATCCTGGGGCTTTCTCCTAAAAGGTGAGGAAGATCAGAGAGGCAGCAAGTGCATGCATCTTCTTACACAGACAGTGATTTCATCAGCAGGAGAGACAGCAGTTTTGCAGGACCCAAGACCGGCTCAACCTCACAGGCTTAGTGCTAGCCTGCTTATTTACCTTCTAACCCCATACCTTTTCTGTTTTCATCCTCTACCCACTGCACTACGACCTCCCAAATCCCTCCCCAGACTCCTAGAGGAGCTAGTTGGAAGTCTGCCTATAATTACTGCTTATTTAATTTGATTGTGGATTTTAATATCATAACACGAGGAGGCGTTCTGAGGCAAATGTCATAACTGAATGTAGGCAAATAGAAGCGATGCCTGCCCAGTTGGGCTTCAGCTGGGTCCACTGCCATTTGTGTTCTTGGTTTATCTCATCCTGTGGTTTCAAGAACATAAACGTTCAGCAGCGCCTCTTCCTTATCCTGTTTCTCCACATCTCCCCTGGATTTACTCATTTAACACAAGTATTTGGGTGGCATGTTTGCTTACATATCTGGACAGCTTTCTTTTGCCTACATAAGTCTAAATGAAATTCAGAATATTTTAAAATCACAATCCACTTCCTTCAAAACTTTGTTGTTGCTGTTACATGGCATCAGGTAGGTTCCAACTCCTAGCAACCCTGTACAGAGTTTCCAAGGAGCAGCTGGTGGGTTTGAACCATGAACCTTGTGGTTGACAGTCCAGTGCTGATCCTGCAGCACCACACCAGGAGTTGTTGTTGTTAAGTGCCATCGAGTCAATTCCGACCCACAGCGACCCTGTATAGGGTTACCAGGAAGCAGCTGGTGAGTTTGAACCACTGACTTTGCAGTTCAAACGGCTTTGCAGTCTGATGCATTAACCCAAAGCCCCACACCAGGACTCCACACCAGGAGTTGTTGTGTGCCATGGAGTCAGCTGGTAGTTTAGAACTGCTGACCTTAAAAGGCTCACAGCCCGATTCGTAACCACTATGCTACTAGAACTACACCAGGAGTAGATGTTACTATATTGTTTTCTGGAGTTGGTTTTGGATAAGTGTACAAAGTACAAGTTGCTGTTGAGTCAACTGACTCATTCAACCCCATGTGCGTCAGATTAGAACTATGCTCTGTAGGGTTTCAATGGCTGACATTTCAGAAGTATATTGCCAAGGTCTTTTTTCCAAGGTACTTTTGCATGGCCTCAAACTGCCAATCTTTCAGTTAGCAGCTGAGCACAAGAAGCTTAAAATTACATTCATTATTGTCTTAAATATCTACAGAACCTCTTCCCTCATAGAATTCAGAGCCCACAGAAGAAGAAATAAATTATTTTTGATTACTCATCTGTCAGCTTGCTGTACTGTGGTGGCTTGTGTGTTGCTGTGATGTCATTGGTATGTTAAGTACCAGCAGGGTCACCCATGGTAGACAGGCTTCAATGGAGCTTCCAGGCAAATACAGACTAGGAAGGAGGAGAGGTGGACTCCTTTTGAATGTTTACTCACTGAATCCCTTATGAACAGCAGCAAGCCGTGCTGCAAAATGAAATCATGAATGGCACCAGAAGACTGTATGGCACAGGACCGGGCAGTGTTTCCTTCTCATGCACAGGGTTGCTATGAGTCGAAACTCACTCGATAGTACCCTACAACAACAAGAAGTATACAATGTATTGTGGACTTAATCTTATTTTTCAGATCCTCTGTCATGTCCATGATATTTGTGGAGGTAGGAAGTGTGAAAAGATAGGATCAGCTCACCAATAGGAAATGGAAGTCACCCAGTCCTTTCAGGTGTCAGGAAAGGGGGTAGAGACAGGTCACTAGAAGAAGAATTTAATAAGAATTTAATCTAAGGAGTTTGGTTCCACTCTAGGGTAACCCTGGGCTGGAGCTGATCCTTGATTTTAGCCTAGAAATTGACTTTAACAACTTAACTATCATGAAGTCATCACTGCAGATGACACCTAGGCTGGGGGGGGGGGAGCCTGGGGGACTCCTCCAGTAGCTAAGCTGACATAGTCGTGAAATGCAGAAAGGAGACTGACGTAGAATTGTCCAGTCTCCATTCCTGCCATTGTTAGCTGCCTTAAACAGCCTAATGCATGGCAACCCCTTATAAAAAGGACGGAAACACTGCCCAGTCTGTGTAGCATTCAACCATCATTGCAGACCAGACTGGTATGTTCCATGGGATTTTCACTGACTGATTTTTTCTAAAGTAGATCACCAAGGCCTGCCTTTTTCTCCATTCCTAAGAACTCCAAATTTGATTTGTTTGGGGGATAAACCTGTCTGAAGTAGGGAATCTCACCATTTTAATTCTTTTCAGTCCTTTAAGTCTAATGGCAGAACTTCATAAATCTAAGGCTACTGAAATTTCATCTCTTCACCTGCCAATAATTTTCTAAACACACATTTTTCACAGACTTATCTAAGTACAGTTCTCCATTGCCCTTTTTGACTATATATTATAGTGCAGATTCAGTCAGGCACTTGTGGGTTTAGTTGGAGAGTCTCTGAGACTTCCCTGTGCCTGATTCTTCATTTGTCAAACTAGAGCTAATAATATCATTTATCTTATCAGTTTGCTGTGAGGATCAAATGAAAGAACTTGTACACACTTGCATGGGACCTAGCTCACACATTTCTAATGCTAATATCACTTTCTACTTGAACACTGAATATATGAATCTGCTTGCAGATTAAACCTAGATATTGTATCTTCTACTCAGCCTCCTTTATATTAAGTAAGGCACGGCTCTTGAAGCTCCAGGCCTGCAGGCTATTTAAACAGGTTATATTGTTCATGTGAAGCGCACACATACGCGCTTCCTCCTCCTAACCTAGGAGTCTGAGCCTCAAGATTTTATTTGCTGAGAGGCAAAGCCCCTCAGAGAACTTGATAGGCAGTGAGGCACCGTTTGTCTCCGTTTCCTTTGTCAGATCTCTGTTCCGCCCCTGGCTACATTCGAACAGAACCACTTACTGGTGATTAAAAGGAGGGGCCCTCCAGCTGCGGGGCGCTGGCCTCTGCGAGGGGTGGAGCCTGCTCACACTAGGGGCAGAGCACCGACTCCGCAGCGATTGCGGTCTCCCCTTGGATCTGCGCTTTCTTCGGGCCAGCAAGTGGCATAGTCCGGGGCCACGAAGCGCGGACGTACTGAACCCGACACCGCAGAGGACCACAGCGGTGCGGGGCCCAGGCTTGGAACAAGAGTCTCGGTGGTTGAAACCCATCATTGAGTTTGCGAAAAAACGGGCGGACAGGCAGACGACGGTTGGGACCGAGGGGCAGAGGAGGTGCTCGTGGCGTGAGAGGGGCAGGAATCCTTAGCAGACTTCCAGCTCCCGCCGACACTGCCATGGACGGCAACGACAATGTAACCCGGTTCTTTCAGCCCTCCTCTCTGCAGATGGACAACTACACCTTGTCCCCGAATGCCAGCAGTCTGAGCCCGGGCCTGGACTTCCACCTCGATCATGCATCCAGCGCTAGTCCTAACCCTGGGCTGAGTCTCGGGCCAGGTTCGAGCATCAGCTTCAGCTCCAGTCCTACTCCGAACCCGGAGCCTACTACCAGTAGCTTCGCAGGTGGTGCGGCGAGCCAGGGACCGTCCTCATTCCCTCAGCTCTGGGCTTCTCATGACACCCCTTTCTGGGACACTCCGCTCAACCATGGGCTGAACGTGTTTGTGGGCGCCGCCCTGTGCATTACCATGCTGGGTTTGGGCTGCACAGTCGACGTGAACCACTTTGGGGCGCACATACGCCGGCCAGTGGGCGCGCTGCTGGCCGCACTCTGCCAGTTCGGTTTCCTGCCGCTGCTGGCCTTCCTGCTGGCCCTCGTCTTCAAGCTGGACGAGGTGGCCGCTGTGGCTGTGCTCCTGTGCGGCTGCTGCCCTGGCGGAAATCTCTCCAACCTCATGTCCCTGCTGGTTGACGGTGACATGAACCTCAGGTACGGATCTCGGTTCTTTAGCCATCTTTCTCATCCTAGCCAGTCTGGCTCACAGACCAAGCCTAAAGAGAGCAGCAGTAGAGGTGGGTGAAATGAGGCATGCAAGATGGAAGAAGAAAGTGAAGGCAACATTGATGCTGGGGCGTTAGAAGAAAAGAGAGATGCTGACAAGTTGCAGGGGGAAAGATATAGACACAGATTGAGCTGTTATGAGGATCTGGGCCTTTCAGCGCATCTACCTCCCTAAGTGTTGGACAGTCGCACAGGCCTTTGGCCGCTGGAAGACAAAGGAATTGGGGAAATCTGAAGCTAGGACTAACAGGAAATGAAAACGCATAATAGAGTTATTGGCCCCAATAAAGAAAGTCATCTGATGAGAGAATAACACAAATCAATCCAACAAGCAGTGCTCAGTAGCTCTAACATGTCTAACATTCAAGGGTGGTCTGGAGAATTTTTAAAAAGAAAAATTGTTCCTTGCCCTCAGAATCATCCAGACCATAATCAGCTCAGTAGCCACTGAACAGTCAAGGGGCAGCAGCCATGAGGTAATATTTTTCTCCTGCCTTAGGTTTATTGTTTCAATTGGGTTTAGACTGTGCTCTCTTGCCACTTACTCCCTTCTGCCTTCCAATGAATTAAGTCCTCCCCAGACTTTAATCCCAGGAATCTGCAGTCTTCTCCTTACCCCTCTTCACCCAATGGTAAAAACAAAAAAACAAAACGCTTGGCTGGCTTATGGGCTCAGTCCAGTCCTGACTTCTGCTCCTTATCCCTTCTGCAGCATCATCATGACCATCTCCTCCACACTCCTGGCCCTGGTCTTGATGCCCCTGTGCCTGTGGATCTACAGCCGTGCTTGGATCAACACTCCTCTTGTGCAACTACTACCCCTAGGAGCAGTGACCCTGACTCTGTGCAGCACCCTCATCCCTATTGGGTTGGGTGTCTTCATTCGCTACAAATACAATCGCGTGGCTGACTACATTGTGAAGGTAAAGTTACTGTCTCATTGCCATACTCTGTCTCTCTTAGAGTCTTTGAGGTCTCTGACTCATAGGTAAAGTGCGAAGGAGGGAAGGGGCTTTGCCAGGGCTTGGGTGGATAATCTTTAAAAATAAATTTATGCAGCAAAGATAGCTCCACCTTTTTTGAATTCTTAAAATGGTACTTTAATTAAGACACAGCTTGATTAAAAATAGCATTAAGAAAACAACCAATACTTTGGGGGAGGAATAGATAACTGCAGAGGGGAGGAAGACAGCAATGCTGTTCAATGGCAACACAGTTTCCACTAACAAACTGTATTATTAAAAAAAAAAAAAATCAAGGCAGATTAAATGAAATTATTTTAATAGAACTTGTACAGGATTTTAGAAATACATTACTGGATCTTCAAAAGTAAAATTCTAATTCTGAGAAACCCTGTCATAAGGTGGTTTAGAAATAATATATTAACTTTCTAAAATTAAATCTGGACACTAAGAAGGCTAACATAATTGAAAAGTTAACTTGTGGCAATCAGGGAGAATACACAAAATATTTGTCTCAGAACATAAAGTAAAATGGGTCATGGACAAATGATGCAGGTAATATCGCCACTACTAAATATATGGGTGTGTGTTTCTTTCCCATTAGAGTTCTATGTGATTTGTATCTAATACTAGTGATAGCATATAGGATTTATATTACTTTCTGTAATATCTTCAATGCTACTTTATTTTCAAAAACTGGCATTTCTATAGCAGTAGAGAGTCCCTAATAGAGAAACATTGTAAGTATTTGCAAATTAAATTTTTGAGAACTCAGAAATAGTTGTAAAATTAAGTCATCAACAGGATTCCTATCTTAGGAAATTAGTGAAATAAAGTTTATGCCTAATTATTATAAAATACAAGTCTTTAAGACAAATGACGAGAAAAACAACCACTCCAATATACCTGCTATATAGATTTAGTAAGATATAATCTTTTTGTTTCACTTATACTAATTAATTGCCCAAAGTAATTTTATTATACAGAATGGCTAACTTTTATTAATATGAAAATAGAGAGCCTTATATATTAATATATATGGAATCCTGGAGGGGCGCTGTAGGATAAGCACTAGATTGCAAGGTCGGTTTGAACCATAAGGTCAGCGGTTCAAATCCACCAGCTGCTCCTTGGAAACCTATACAGGGTCACTATGAATCAGAATCTACTTGATAACACTTAACAACAATAAGTATATACATATACATATATACATAAGTTGTTGCTGTTGTTAAGTGCCTTCAAGTCGATTCCAACCCATAGCGACCCTCTATAGGGTTTCTAAACAACTTTGCAGTCTGACGCACCAGCCCACAGTGTTAGGCACACACACATTTATATCCAGTCTTGAATTTTAAAAAATCCTATTTTATAATCAATATGGTGGTGGTGGTGTGCCAAGGAATTGGTTCTGACTTACAGTGACTCTGCACAGGGTTCCCGAGGCTGTAAAGTTTTACAGGAGCAGAAAGCCTCATCTTTCTCTCGCAGAACTACTGATAGTTTCAAACCACAGACCTTAAATTAAGGTTAGCAGTGTGACTCATAACCACTATGCTACCAGAGCTCTCTATAATCAACATATATATTCTTAATATAATATACGTTGTTGTTGTTGTTAAGAGGCATCAAGTCTGTTCTGACTCACAGCTACTCTGTATGGGGCTTCCAAGGAGTGGTTGGTGGATTTGAACTGCTGACTTTGAGTTTAGCAGTCCAGTGTTTATCCTACAGTGACACACCAGGACTCCTGTAAAGATTACAGCCTTGAAAATTCTATGGGCAGTGATCCTATAGGGCAGTTGTACTCTGTCACACATAGGGTCACTATGTGGCAGAATCAACTTGATGGAAATGAGTATATAGATGTACCTATAGTGTGGCACTGTGGGTTAATGTGCTGGGCTGAAAAGGCCGTTTGAATCACAAGGTTGTCAGTTCAAGCTTACCAGCCGCTCCTCAGAAATCCTATACAGGGTCGCTATGGGTCGGAACTGACTCAACAACACTAACAACAACATACATTAAAGAACTTACTAAACTTAATCATTAGGGTAATACTATGAATGTGATTACATTTACTATAAGATCTTAAGAATTCTATGCCACACCCACTAAGATTCAAAAAACAAAACAAAATAATAAAATATTATTCAGAAAGTTTGGCTGAGTTTTAGTTTAAGGTGAGACTATTCTTATTCCTTTAAAAGAACATTATTACTACTAAAATATGGTTCATAGCACTTTAAAATGGACATTCAATATCAATGTTCACCCAAATGATTTAAAATGTAGACAGTTCTCAGGGTAAAATGTCATAGTAATGGACAACTAGTATTTGCCCTTTAATGTTGTGTAAATTTGCCTTCACTTGGAAATGACTGAATCCGCTGCTACTGCCAACAAATTCTTCCTCAGAGTTACCTTTTAAATCACGTAACAACCACAACAAGCTTCACAGAAGCAGCCTGCCACATCTTTCTCCCATAAAGCACATAACGAGAGGATCAGAAGCAACACTTTCTCTTGATCTGTCTTAATCCCTCCTACCCTCCCTCATTTTAAGAACCAAGTTAACTACCAATCAAATGCATTCCAATGTATTCACCAGAATGCTTTCCACAGCCAGTTTGTTTATTTGAATACGTGAAGAGTGCCAGTCAGTACCTCAGTGACACAGGGTTTTATACAGACTCAGTTGTACTGTATCTGAAGTTCACCTCTTAGAATAGTGGCACTGTAGGATAAGCACTGGACCGCAAGGTCAGCAGTTCAAACTCACCAGCTGCTCCTTGGAAACCCTATACAGGGTCTCTAGGAGTCAGAACTGACTTGACAACACTTAAGATAACAAGCATCACCAGAAATTTATGGGTGGGAGGTTTCTTACTAACAGATGAAAAAAGAGGAGGGTTTGTAAAACTGCAAAGAATTTCTCACATCTCACATTTACATTCTTTCTCTTATAAAATCTAAGATACGGCAAGTATTTCAATATTGCCAACTATCCTCTGCACTATAAAGTATTTTGAAGATGAAAATATCACACACCATGTTTCATAAAACTGAATAGCAAGTACACCCTTCATGTGTAAAACCAAAACAAGTATCTATGGAAAATGTGGGGTCCTGTTCAGGGAAAGCAAAAGTCCTCTTGTGTATTCACCAGAAAATTCCTGGGATATTGGGTTTGATTCTGACTGTTCTTATTTTAGAAAGCACCTTCACATATTAACATACCCTCCTCACAACGGTCAGGAATCCAACACAAAGTTCCATGAAGGAGACTGAGTCCCAGGATAAATCTGTCTGGAGAATAGTGAACATTCCTCTCAATAACTTTAAAAAAAAACTCCTGAGGAGCTGTTTTTGAAAAGACATAGTGTTTCATGTTACTCCTGAGGCCATACCCAAGACAGGTTGTAAATGGCAAATTGTCATTTACAGTAATTAGAGTCTCCTAACAATCAAAGCCATTGGACAGACCTGGAGGCCTCTTGAGGGTATTTTCAGAAATACTCTTGTAGAAACATTTTAGGGTGCACATCTCCATTTTGTGTGATCTCTTCTTCCAAGACACTATAATTTTCTATGACACTATGATTCTCTTAGCTAAATTCCTTTTGAACGATCTTACTATTGACAGCTTGTCTATCCGTTTTCTTTTACTAGGTTTCCCTGTGGTCTCTGCTAGTGACTCTGGTGGTTCTTTTCATAATGACCGGCACTATGTTAGGACCTGAACTGTTGGCAAGTATCCCCGCAGCTGTTTATGTGATAGCAATTTTTATGCCTTTAGCAGGCTACGCCTCCGGCTATGGTTTAGCTACTCTCTTCCATCTTCCACCCAACTGCAAAAGGACTGTGTGTTTGGAAACAGGCAGTCAGAATGTGCAACTTTGCACTGCCATTCTAAAACTGGCCTTCCCACCACGTTTCATAGGAAGTATGTACATGTTCCCATTGCTTTATGCCCTTTTCCAGTCTGCAGAAGCAGGGATTTTTGTCTTAATATATAAAATGTATGGAAGTGAAATACTGCACAAGCGTGATCCTTTAGATGAAGATGAAGACACAGATATTTCTTATAAGAAATTAAAAGAAGAGGAAATGGCAGACACTTCCTATGGCACAGTGAACACAGATAATTTAATAATGATGGAGACCACCCAGACATCTCTCTAAACACAGAGACACAAAGGAACTTCATATTTATGATCTGTGATATGTATATGTTTTATATAAAATTGGTTTGCATTATCATACATGTAACCATTGTCGATTGCACTGGTGTATTAACCAAGCGTTTCCACAAATTACAGATAATGGCATCATACAACCATTAAAGTGAAGTTTGAGTTAGTTAACTGCCTTTTAGTTTTCACCATTAACAATTTCTATGATTCTTTCTAATATGTGACATATAAGAACACAAGGTGTTGGAAATGTAGAATTTTGGCGCATTATCTTATATGAGTAAAAACAGTCTATATTTGTAAAGCATAATGGAGCTTAATGTAATTGTACAAAAGTGTATTCTGCTCAATTTATAACCTGACGATGTGGATTTTGACCTGTATTCAGAGATATCTCCCAACAGGTTAATTAAACAATGAGATATAGCAATCTTATTGTCAAGCCTGTATCAAACCAGAGAAAAATGATATTCATGTCTTTATGTACTTATAAACAACCACATTTATGCCAGTAGACCAAGCATTTTCTTTCGAAGTGGGGACTAATTTGGTTTTCAGCATTTATGTAAATACACCCCAAATCAACTACCTGTTGGAGTATAGTTCAATTAGTAAACTTTCTAGAATTACTATCCCTGGAGGAGAGCTATAGCTGTCACCCAAGGTGAAGCTAGTAACCATCTGGGTCGGGGTGGGGAGATGTGCCTGGGGAGACAACAATTAGCCTAGATATGGATGCCCTAGAATGCTTCCCCGTGCCCTTACCGGAAGGCTTTCAAAGGGCAGCTGGAAGATACACTATAACCTGAAATCTGAGCTCACAGACCCACAGCAATACCCCAAACCGTCGTTTTCCGATTCACTCACCCAAAGGCACCCACTCAGCTTCCCCGACGGTGCAGACACCTGGAGCGATCCGGGGCTGGGGACCACCTGGTGCAGCTAATCCAGGCGCGCGTGCGCTCAGACGACTTCCCTAATAAGTCAGGTTCTCGGGGGAAAGAAAGCCGTCTTTCCTGGCCCACTGACGGTCTTCGGGCCGGCCTCTGGGGCTGAAGCCTTCCACGTCGAAAGGGTTGCTGAGGGACGACTCCCCCTCAGCAGGGACACAGGCCAGCGCCCAACGCTGCGAGACCAGCTGCCTCTGGGCTGAGGGTCGTTCACGCCTTCGTGGCCGCCCCCGCAAAACCGCCTACTTAGGGCGCAGCTGGTGGGAGCGGCTGCGGCTGCGCCTATGGCTGCCCCAGGGGACGAAGTGCTGGACGGCTACGTGTATCCTGCATGCGCCCCCTACTCGTACTCCTACCCCTACCCGCCGGGCGCCAAGGGCAAGGCCCCGGCGGGAGGAGGCGGCTGGCGCCACCGTAGCAGGGGCTACCTTCCCGCCTCCTCGTCTTCCTCCTCCTCTTCCGCGAGGGTGGCCTCGGCGGCTTTCCCCGGCTACGGGCAGCTGATGGCCGCCGAATACTTCGACAACTACCAGCGGGCACAGCTCATGGCCCTCCTGTCCCAGGTGAGCCCGGGTTTCGTTCCGCGGCCCCGCAGAGCCAGCAGCCGAGACGTGGGTGTGCAAGTGAACCCGCGCCGCGACGCCTCGGTGCAGTGCTCGCTGGGGCGGCGCACGCTGCTGCGTCGGACCCGCGATCCCGGCCCCTCGGCCTCTCCACAAGCTTCCCACCGGGGCCCGGAGGTAGGTAGCCCGTCGAGCGTCGCCCCGCGGCCCGTGCGCTTCCCGCGCACGGTTGCCGTGTATTCCCCCGTGGTCTCTCGCCGCCTCACCACCTTCCTGGAGGGGGCCGAGGCTGCGGCGGCGGGAGCCGGCCAACCGAAGGCCGGGGCGCTAGAGGGAGAGCAGGGGCTGTCCTCGCGGTTCGAAAGCTCAGAGCAGGCCGGGACGTCGGCGAGGAAGGCGCTCCTCTGGCCACAGTCCGAGAAGGACGACGATGAGGCACAGGCCGCGGTGCAGGCGAGCTGGGAGCAGCCTGCCGACGGCGCCGGAGCGCCGGCTCGAGAGGACCGGGGAGGCGACGCGGCCCAGAGCAGCCCCGAGCAGCCCAGGAGGGCCGAGGACACAACCGTCGCGAAAGACAGGTCGTCGCCGCCGCCGAGCCCCGAGGCGCGCAGGGAGCGCCTGCGCTTCCAGGTGAGGCCGGGCTGGGGCAACCCGAGGTGGGGGAGGCCCCGAGGGTGGGGTGGGAGCCGCTGGGTCTCCTGGTTCCTGGCTTTGCCCTCCAGCCCCAGCCCCTTATGGCTGCGCCGCCGATAGGAGGTGCTAAGGTTCCTTAGGCCGCCCCATTGCTAGTCGCAGGTGTTGTCTTTAAACTCGCTTTGACTTGAGTGCAGCTTGGTTCTGTTTTGCAGCGATTATAAAACACTGACTCCGTACGTGCACCGCTGGCTAGGAGCAGACTTTTTCACATTTTTATTCGGCGCATATAGGCACTATAAAACCGTGACTTTAAGCCAATAGTCCTCTCTCTCTTCATTCGGCTTTTGTATGAAATAGGATGGGTATTCACATAGAAGGAGACTACCTTAGCAGGAGAGTGGATTCTCCAGATCCCACTTCTATTTCCTCAAAGGTCCTAACAGTTGATTTGGGGAATTGTCTTCAGCTCTGCAGTATCGCCAGCTCTTACCTGCGTCGTTCAAGCTGATCATTACACCGGAAGCATTTGAAAAGCCCCAACAGAAACTTAGTGCTACCAGAGCATTTGGCTGTTCCCTATTGCTGCCTAAGAGAGTAGCAGGCTTGGGAGTTCCGTTCATGCTAGCTGCATCCCAAAGGACCAGGGATGCCTGCAATTGTGATGTTAAGTCAGTTCTGACACATCAGCGACCCGGTGTATGGTTTCAGAGGAGTGCCTGGTGGGTTTGAACCACAGACATTGTGGTTAGCAGTGCTTATCCTGGTGGTGGTGGTTGTGTGGCATTGAGTTGGTTAGGACTCACAGATTTCAAATGTCACAGATTGTAAATCTTTATGGGAGCAGAAAGTCTCATCTTTCTCCCGTGAAACCGCTGGCAGATTGTGGTTAGCAGTCCAAACCTTACTCACTACACTACTAGGGTAAAGTGCCAGGTTATGCAAAGTGCCATGGAGTTAGTCTTGACTCATAGTGACCCTGTATAGGGTTTCCAAGCCGTGGCTGGTGAGTTTGAACCGCCGACCTTTCTTTCGGTCCAGTGCATTAACCCACAGAGAACCATTATAACCCAGGAGAGGTGGGAAGGAAGGCATGAGGCCAGGAGGAGCACTTTGTTGCTCAGAAACACAGCCATTGGGAGTGAATTGAGAAACTCTGTGTTGGTAGCTGAGCCCCAGCCTTCCTAGGTTCTAGTTTGCTCACCTGTGAGAACCTAAAGTGTTTTTCTTCAGTTGTGAAGGCCTAACTCCCAAGACACTTGTTTGTGACTTATATGGGAAGCGTAAGAATATAGTGATAGCACTTGGAAACCACTGCTATCAAGTTGGTTCTGAATCATAGCAGTCCTGTATAGGAGTTCCAAGGCTGTAAATCTGTACAGGAACAGAAAACATCTTTCTACCATGCAGTGACTAGTGGGTTTGAACTGTCAATGTTATGGCTGGCAGTCCAGTGCTCATCCTATGGCACCACCATTTTTTGTTATTGTTAATAATTGCTGTGGAGATGATTCTAACCCCTAGCAACCTTATATAGTATTTCTGGTGGCTGGTGCCTACTTTTCAGTTCAGCGCATTAACCTACAGTGCCACACCGGGAGTCTGCACCGTTATTTGGTGGTGGTGATGTGCTGTGGAGTCACTTCCAACTCATAGCAACCCTGCCCAGGGTTTCTGAGGCTGTAAATCTCTATGCGAGCAGAAAGCCTCATCTTTCTACCGCGGAACAGCTGGTAGTTTCGAACTGCTGACTTTAAGGTTCACAGCCCGATTTATAACCATGATGAGCTCACTACACTACCATTTAGTTTACATTTAATATGAATTACTCCCAAATGTGACTTATGTACTACTTTGATTCGTAGCACTTCTGTTTGCTGGAAATTTAGCAAGGGTTAGTAGATGCCCTCTAGTCTACTTGACTAATGGGTACTCTATGCACAATGCTGCTGCTGGTGGTGGTGATGGTGAGCCAAGGAATCAGCTCTGACTCATAGCAACCCTGCATGGGGTTTCCTAGGCTGGAAATCTTTTCAGGAGCAGAAAGACTCATCTTTTCTCCACCAGAACAGCTGGTAGTTTCGAACTGCTGATCTTGAGGTGAGCAGACCAACTCATAATCACTACACTACTGGAGCTCCTTCTATGTGATCAAGTTATTCTGATCATAGGGTTTTCATTGACAAATTTTTGGGGAATAGATTGCTAGGACTTTCTTCTGGTTTGTTAGTCTGGAAACTCCACTAAAAACTTTTCAGCATCACAGTACCCACAGCACACAAGCCTCCACTGACAGATATGTGGTGACTGCTTTTGAGGTGCCTTGTAAGAGTCAAACCCCGGTACCTAACATGGAAGATGAGGATTCTGCCACTGACCTACTACTGGCCTCACTAGCAGGGTGGGTAGTGGTGGTGATTCCAACTCGTAGTAAGCCCATGCATGCACAACAACAGAATGAAACACTGCCTGGTTCTGTGCCATCCTCACAGTTGTTACGTTTGAAGCCATTGCTGCTGCCGCTGTGTCAATCCATCTTGTTAAGGGGCTTCCTCTTTTTCGCTGACCCTCCACTTATCAAGCATGATGTCAATGAAGGTCCTTTCTTGATAACATGTCAGAAGTATGAGAGTATTTGAAATCTTGAGCATGTATTGAAAATAGCTTATGCTGCAGTCTGATTTTCTTCCGTTCAATAACCACTTCCCTTATGTGTAAGCTTGAAGATCAGACTCCATCCTGTGGAGAAGAGGCCTCCCTAAGGATTTCAAGCATCAGAGAATCTTGGATGTTTGCCTTCTCTTCTCCCCATCTGAGGGAAAACACCTCTATAGTTGTTTGTCCTCCTGTCTTACGAACCATGTTAAGCTGGTATATAAACATTTTTAGATCCATGTTTACTTGTTTGGCTAAGCCATTTAATTCATTTAATTACTGTAGAACTTTATCTAAACTAGATGCTACTGTTTTTTTCTGCCATGATCTGAAAGGAAGTTGCCAGTGTTAAATATCAGATCCTTCCCAGATTCTGCAATGAAGGAAAATTCAACTGCCCTGGTTAAACACTCATATTTTGTTCAGTTCTTAGAGCAGAAGTATGGCTATTACCATTGCAAGGACTGCAACATCCGATGGGAAAGTGCGTATGTGTGGTGTGTACAGGGCACGAACAAGGTAAGAAAGCCCTGGTCAGTGGCATCTTCTTGACCAAAAGGACTTTTGCTGTATGTTTGTTGTTGTTTTTTTCTCTTTACAGGTTTACTTCAAGCAGTTTTGCAGAAGTTGTCAGAAGTCTTATAACCCTTACAGAGTGGAAGATATCACCTGCCAAGTAAAATAAATGTTAATCATACTGGGCCTAAATTTTGTAGTGGTAGGGTTTAGGTTTAGGTTTTCTGAATGTACTATCTAAAGCAGCTAGGTTCCCAGATAACTTTAATTTTTATTATCAGTTTTTAGAATAATATTCTAGAATTATATTCCACTGGGAAACTGGGGCTAGGTGTTTTATTAGTTTCTTTCTGCCCTTGCACATCCTGGTCAAGTTAACTCTTCTGAGACTGCTACCTCACTTGTAATGTGGAAGAATGCTTGTTGTACTTGCTACTTGTGGTTTCACGTGAGAAAGCAATCTGAAAACTAGAATGTCTTTCTACTAACAAGAAAAGGTGGCCTTTTCTCCAAGTGCTTCTTATGAAGCCCTGATGTTGCTGGGAGAAAGATGAGGCTAGAGATCTATAGTCTTGGAAGCCCTACGTGGTCGCTGTGAGTTGGAATCGGACTCAGTGGCAGTGGGTTTGATTTGGGTTTATGAAGTACATACCCAACCTCAAGTATTTAGATAATAAACACAGGTTTTTTGGATTTTTTTTGTGTGTGTGTGTGTTTGTGCAAGTAAGGATGCTATAATCTTCTGAACAAATGACAACAGGTCTGATAGCATGAATATATTCCACATGGCCCTTAATATACAAAGTCAGAGATGAGCACAGGTTTTAAAGTTTCAGTCTTGCCTGAGAGCTCCTAAAAGCAGGACAGTTTGTTATAAAGTAAATGTAAGCTGTTTGCTCAGCTTTATGTGGGAATTGGGTGACGGGGATAACTGGTAAGATAATTGCTTTGTCCCACAGTGCCACACTAAGTCTGGTGTGTCACTGTGGGATAAAGCCCTGGACCACAAGGTCAACAGTTTAAACTTGCCAGCTGCTCCTTGGATAATCCTATTACAGGGTCACTATGAGTCGGAACTGACTCAATGGCACTTAACAACAGCAAGCATTGCACTATGACTTCAATGATCTTCTAACATGAAAGAAGAGATGTTTGTTGTGCAGCTAGCAAGGCCCGGAATACTGGTGCTGTACAGTGCTGGCTCTTGCTTGAGTTAAATACCGGAGTATTAACACCACAGGGTGGGTGGAAAGAAAGTATGAGAAACTGTTCAGAGTTTTAGGTCACAGCAGAAATAGGAAGGTAGGTTCTAAAGCAGGGTACGGTAACCACTCTGCTCTTGGCTTGGTGTTTACTGCCCTGCCGGGCTGTCTCATCTTAAGGGTACTTAGCAGGAGAAGGGGCTATGTCAGGCAGCCAGTGATGACAGGTCTACCTGAGACTTACTCCTTGGCACTAGTCCTCACACCTTAGCTTCCTTTCATTTCAGAATCCTCCTCCCCCGACTTCTTTATTCTCGACTCTTTTGGTGTGGAAGATATTTCCTCTTAGAAAATTCTAGACTTCTAAAGAGATGTTACAGTTCAGAATGGAATCTTATGCATTATGGCATCACGGCTAACTCACCAGCTTGCCATCAGGTCATTTCAGAATCGTGGTAAACACATATGTGTCAGAACTGTGCTCTATAGGCTTTTCAGTGGCTGAGTGTTTGAAGGTGAATCACCAGCCCTTTCTTCAGAGATGCCCATTAACCCAACAACCTTTGTAATATTAGCAGCCAAGCACTTAACCTCTACTGCTACTTAGACATGACACCATAGAGTTAAGCACCTTCTTTTCTTAATGTAGTGTAATGGTTACGAGCCGGGCTGCTAATCTCAAGGTCAGCAGTTCGAAACTACTAGCTGTTCCTCTGAGAAAGATGAGGCTTTCTACTCCCGTAAAGATTTACAGCCTCGGAAACACTATACAGGATTGCTATGAGTCGGAACTGACTCAAAGTCACTTAACAACATTCTTAATGTGGACTCCTGGTGTGGCACTATGGGATAAGCATTGGACTGTGAACTCAAGATAGGTTCAAATCCACCAACTGCTCCTATACAGGGTTGCTATGAGTCACAACTGACTCAAAGGCACTTAGTAACAAAAATTCTTAATGCTAGAGCCCTGCTGTGGTGCTGTAGGGTAAACACTGGACTGCTAACCACAAGGTTTGTGGTTTAAATCCACCAGCTGCTCCTTGGAAGCCCTATGGGAGGGGTCGCTATGAGTTAGAACTGACTTAACAGCAAATTCTTAAGGCTATCATTGCTAGCTAGGGATGTAGGCAGATAAAACAAGATAAACGGCCTTGTTTACAGCACATTCAGTAAATATTTGAATGGATTCGAAAATAAATAAACCCCTTGGTGAGTTCCAAGGACTTTAAAAGTTATCTTCTGTGTGTATTTCTACTTTGATTTTTCAGAGTTGTAACCAGACTCGATGTTCCTGCCCAGTAAAACTTCGGCACGTTGACCCTAAAAGGCCCCATCGACAAGATTTGTGTGGGAGATGCAAAGGCAAACGCCTCTCCTGTGATAGCACTTTCAGCTTCAAATATATCATTTAAGCAAGTGTAACCATGGTCCTGCTGAACGTGTCTTGTGGGGCAGACCAGTGGGCTTTTCTCCATGTCCCTTCTCCTTCTCTACTTCCCCCTTCTCCAAATACTTGATGAAAGGCAGTGTATTTTGACGAAGACTTCAAATAAAAGTATTGCAACACAATTTAAAAATTGCTTAAAATCTTAATGTTTTCAAAAATAAAGTTTAAGGAGTGCTTGCTTTGTGCAAACAATGAGGCTGTGACTTTACTGGTTTCACCTTCAATTTTCCACATTGGTTCATGGCATACAGTGTGTGCTGGGCTCTTGTTGAGCTTGTTACAGTAACTTGAAAAACAACTTTGAGGGTTCCTAGGCATGAGGTTTATTATTTAAGTCTTCTTAGTAGGGTTAGAGCTTAGAGAGATGTAGTGGATGGACACTAAGTTTCCTGACGTTAGAATTGGTATTTATCCTCTAGGGATGGTGGAGCAGCTATTCCTTGATGAGGTGGAGCCCGTTGTGTGTTGTGTGGTAACTCCAAGCAAACTGAGTAGCTGGCTTGGTATAAGTGGTGGCTTCCTGTATATGGAAAGCATGGCTTAATGGGTAAACGATTTGGGGGGCTGGGGATCATTGTAAATCGACCTCATGCAGAAAACTGATTATGAAGTCAAATGAGGATGGTAATAGGATGGTGAAGGGCAGCTTCCTGTAGCAAACCTGTCAAATGTACTTTAGGTGGTAACTTCCTATTTTAAAGAAAAACCACATCTATAAAACTGCGTTTGA